TATTGAGTTTGTGATAGTCAATGCAAACCCTCCATCCGGTGACTGTTCTGGTAGGAATAAGCTTGTTTTTTTCATTCGGTACGACTGTTATCCATCCTTTTTTCGGCACAACCTGAACTGGGCTGATCCATACACTATCTAAAATAAGGTAGATGATCCCTGCATCCAATAGTTTTAGTACTTTGGCTCAGACCACTTCCTTCATGTTGGGGTTTAACCTCACTTGGCTCTTCACACTGAGTCGAAAATTCTCCTCCATGAGAATCTTATGCATGCATAATGAAGGGCCGATCCCCTTAATACTTGCAATGGTCCACCAATTGCTGTTTTATGTTCTCTGAGTACCCGCGGTACTTTTTCTTCTCCACATCACTGATTTTACTGAAATAATAACTGGGAGTGTACATGACTCGCCCAAGTAAGCATATCGGAGATGCGGTGGTAGTTGCTTCAAGTCCAATTTAGGAGGCTTCTGTACAGATGGTATAGGTTTTGTTGGACCCGTTCCAAGTTCTTCAAAGGTTCTGTTGCGTGCATATCGTCGATTTCTTTCCAAGAATCTCGCACAGGTCTCAATCTCACTTGATTCGTATTGTGTTGAGTGAGAATGTACAATATGCGCCTCATAAGCATCCGATAGGTTGTGAAGTAGAAAAGTGTCCTGGACTATCTTATCGATCACATCAATCTTGAAACAATTGTCTGCCTCAGAAGAAAATTGTATAGCCTTGAACACATTGAATGAAATATGTTCTTCACCCAATCTCAAAATTAGTTGTCCCCTTTGAACAACAATTATTGCCCTCCCAGTGGCAAGGAATGGTCTTCCTAGAATCAGAGGAATATTTTTGTAATACTTCGAAATTTTATGCTCGTTTAACTTGCTCATTTAATTTTTAGTATGATAATTTAACTTTTCAAAATTTTATACGGCCAAGATTATTAGTGATTGCCAAGTTTTCATTGTTGGTTGATTAAAAGTTTGCCAAGATTAGTTAATTAGGTTTTTTTTGGGATTAATGTCAAATTTTACACCTAATTACTGTAGATAAGCATTTCTTTTCCACTTGGCCGAGAGTAGAATGTTACTCTGTAGTGAAGTAATAAGCAAGCATGAGGTGTTTAATGTTTAATATTCAAACATGATGTGTTTA